TTATTCGCATTGAGCGGAATCGAATCGGGGATCGGAAGAGAGAGCGCTCGCTGAGTCGGCCGAAGAATTCGACGCTGCTTCTGCCGCACGTTCGCGAATCGCGACCATTATATTCCCATCGTTGTATATCGTTGGGCTGTTTTCTCCCCATCGAAAGGAGTAGAAAGGACCCATCACTACCCCCTATGCATTGCCAATAACTAAACCGTCACCGACCATCATTCGCTGATTCATTCATATCCGACAGGCTGCGGCGACGACAGCGAAATTTCAAATTGGTCATGGAAAGACGTATCCAGTCCTTAGTCGCCCAAAAGCATGATGCGTTGCTCTGTTTGATAATCGTGAGAAAGCCTTTTTTTCAGCTTGCTTTCCCATTCCATCTAGACGCAAGTCTAGGCAGAACGAGATAATCTATTTCGGCGTGTATCACTAGAGTATCGGCTGCTGACCCCTTTTGGTGCGTTCTGGTGTCGTGTGATTCTTAAAATGACTTGACCGCGTTCTATGTAGAATCTATTCTTGGATTGATACGGTAAGAGGGCAAGTTTAATGCCTCCTCTGAATCCATCGACCACACAGGAAATGACTTGATAGCAATCGCCCGCGCTTGAGATAAGGTAGCAGTGTCTTACCCAGCGTTTCCGAATGTTTGGCTATCCAGGTGTCGATGAGTGATATCATTCAACAGAAGTTCAGGGCATAGAAGAAGGATTGATCTGACTTACAAGCGGCGAACGTGAATTAAGGTCATCGTTTGGTTACCGTCCGACGCGTGGTCGGCCTTATTATGTCCGTGGATGAACATATTTAGAGTGGGCCAACTCAGGGTACATGGCGTTGGTAGTCGTACGAGCCTTGGGAAATTAACGCTCTAACGCCTTGGTAGACCCATTTGGCTCTCCTCAAGTCAGATTTTCGCGTTTCAGTATGTCGCACCATCTCGCTCCTCCGCTGTGTTGCCTCTCTGGTCATCATCAGAAGGTTCCTTTGGCTCACGTTGTCGCTCTCAAACTCACGACTCTCTAATTAGGCTGCCGGGCGAAATCGATCGCGTACTTTTGCGAAATGTGTCCCACCAGGCGTGCATCCTGATAATGTGAGAATTGCCGAGTGTTCAGATGTGCTCGCTTACGACACGTCTCGTATCACCAGACCAGGGACGTGCTTGTGCAGAAGAGTCACTTCGAGGCTCAGGTCTATGCCGCTTTTTTCTCCCAGCATTACATGTAATTGAGGCTGGTCGCTCATTTGCAGCTAACACAACTTTGGATCTCCTCTTGTGACTTCTCGGGTACTCTATTTGTGACAAGCTGATTGCCTTTCATGTCGTCTCCGAGGGGTTTCCGACTTCGAGGCTTCGTTTGCGTGAATACCGACACCCTTTCACGATTAAGAACTACCTTTTCTCAGGCGCAGGAATGCGTTTTCAAAACTGCAGTTGAGGGTCCAGTTGCCAAATTGACATTCGCGTTTATATATAGGAGACTGGTAAAGATTCCTTGTCGTCATCGTTCCCCACAACTTTGCTATTGAGCATCCACTATCTTTACTCCTCGGTTCGACGGTTCGTCATCATGTTAAGGACTTCTGAAAGGTGGATTTATCTGACTGCCGTGTACCAGAATAATGGCCAAATCATGCTCCCCTCTCGCAACGAGCGTTCTGCCTGTACCCATCATGCGACCGTTCACACCAGCTACTACTCAGCCTCCCCACTCGTCTACCGACCCAAAAATATTCAAAACATCCTCGGCTTGTGCGACACCGCAAACAGCCATGTCTTTAGTGACTCAGGCTATAGCTCCTGCGCCTTCCAGTGTGCGCCGTCTTCAATGAGAGGGTCGGTAAGGTAAGCAAAAGAGGTCCTTTCGACCGTCTTCCGGAGCTACTGATCATCCTGTAAAGATTCTCGGGGCGCGCTTGAGACCCCCCAAAGAACTCTCATCCTTGCTATCTAATTTAAAGATGCAAGCGAACACAGAGGTGTCTTTCTTGATACGTCCTCTTGAAGACATGTTTCGACGCCTGTATTTTACCTATGCCGTAATTCTCACTCTCGTGTTCTTTCACCCACTCTTCTTCGGTCGAATCCTCGGGTGAATCCGTCGATCGCGTTCAGCTCGCATCAAGACACAGCTTTCCTGATGATGATGACCTCATTGGGAGCTTCAATTCGGTCGGTATTTGGAAGAGAGGTTTCCATCTCACGTCCGACTCGTCCCGACTATTGTGTGTTCTCGAATATATTGAACAGATCGACAAGTTCTCATATAAATCGATGCCTTTGAACGAGATTGTTCATCACCACGATACACTTCGAGCTCTGTCATTTTACCGCGAAGCACATCAAGGAAGTTGAGGCTGGAAATTCATATACTTTGAAAGTTGAAATTGTTCCCATCATCGTTTACTGTGGATGGTCTGTAGATCACTGGATACGCTCAGGCCGCGATGTGCACAAGGGTATGACTTCGCCCGGAGATATCACCTTGTTTGTGTCCTGAACTGTGATTGTTGGTCCGACGACTAGATCAAACTAGGACGCTGGCTAAGCAAATGAAGCACAAAGGCACGGAGTCGGATGTGGTTCTCATTTGCTTGGCTGTTTCTCATCCTCTCAAATTCATTGGCCGATAGTGACCTGTATGTCCCTCGTGCTTGTTTCAGTTTTATGAGAGAGAACACATTTCGAGGATTCCCACGCATTTTCGCCGTCGAATCTCACGAGTAGATACCCCAGTCGTGGACAGATAGACGATGATCGTTCAAACTTTCATACGGTAGATCTTCACTTCCGAGCGACCCTGCAAGACCCTGGATAGAATACTGCCGTTGAGCACCACACTGCTGTCCTACACTGTTTCTCATTCACTGAAAGACGGGGGTAGCAACTGACCCAGTGATTCTAAAAAATGTCGCGTTCCATCCGGATTGTGTATTCAATAAGAATCCGTGCCAGTGTTTCAGAGACGTCAGCATGAAGGTCTTCATTTCATCCCCTGATTTCGAGATCTCAAACGTGGGTTCCAGGCTTCGACCCAGGCTCGTGGAGATAGTAAATGATTAAACGTTTCAAATTCAATTTTCAGGGGCCGAGTGCAACAATCGTGGACCTCCTATCGAAGTTCAGGGCAGATACCCACAATACTCACACATCATGCGGTGTCTCTATTGATAAATGTTGACGAGACTGTTCGTCCAGCAAGCCGGGGAGCCGAATCTGCTGTCAACATTGCATGATTCGATTTGTGAAGACGAGATGGTCACTTATCACCGGTCTTGGGGATGTCCTCCAGGCTGTAGGATCAAGAGCCCGTCACATTAAGAGTATATGCTATGGTATGGATACAGTGGAGAGTCGTCAGTGGGCGCGGGCAGGTTTTCCCCACACTTCACATAGGAGTGTCAATAAACGAGCCAAAGTTCTGATCGTCGGAGTCCGCGTCCGATTGTTCGCTCCGGTCATCATGAAGCCGAGAATCCTGACGCCGAGCTTCTTGATTGCTCACAACGTGATGACGAGGAACCCATCTCCGGTCACCAGATTGTGGAATTTGTGGGGAGAAACGATGACCTCCGGCTCTTTCCATGTCGAATGAGACTGTAAGACGAGACCTATACCGCGAGATCTCACTGTCGGGGTCTGCCGGTTCGACAGGTTCGACCATGGATCTGAGTCTGGATACGACGTGCGTGACGGTGTAGTACATGGATCGGAGACGGAGAGAAAGGAATATTAAGCCAATACAGGCTAGTGGGTATATGATAAGTGCTATCCGCGGATCAGTTAATAAGTCAGGAATAGATGTTTCAATAAGGGAACTCACAGGTTGAGAAGCCGGATGATGAACGGGACTGTGGAAGGGGAGACGGGATTACGGGAGACATGGCTCTGCGTGAGGTGAGAACCTATGATATGTGCTCGTTATGACGGACGCCAACTCCGTCTTCAACAACGAGGAAACGAGGGGAAACGAAGAGGGTGCCAATTTCACAAAGATAGGAAGGGGTGAAACGGATGAAATGGATATGGACGGCACGAGTGGCGAGCTCGGATGGCTAAATTGCACGTGCTCAGCAGGTGGCGGGCGATCTTGGTTGGAGGACATGCGACGATCGCCGTCAGAGGTTTTGAGCCTTTAGTTGCCGGAGTACCTGCTTTCATGCCGAGTGACGTCACAGTTCAGCCGATTTCTGACGCATCATTGCCGAGGACAGCCACTTTGGGCTATCGCAAGACTTGCAGTGCGGTGACTGTGCGCGAGGTACGAGTGGTATAGCGACACATGTAGATGTTGCCTTGGCGGACTACGGAGCTCTGGATGAAGCGAGATGTAAGCCTCCGTTGACAGCGGAACGTCATTCTCGGCGTGAAAGTCGCAACCTGTCCGAGTCGCAGGACGTGTTGGAGAACGCGGTCTGGACCTGAGTGGACGCATCGCACTCCGAGATGACACTGAGTGGAGCATAGAAGTCGAACGGAACCTGCGACGCGTGCCTTTTGGATGGAGTTCCGAAAATCTAGACCTCTTCATGATGGCACCAAAGACACCATTGGCACCCAATACACCGGCAGTCGAGAATCGAGACATACAAAGGGACTTCTGAGGGGCATGGCGTCGATAGCGGCTTCATGTTGCGTTTCGCACCGACAGTTACCGACACGTCCCGTAACGAATGACTTTGAGAGATTACAAGACCGCTGACCATAAACGCGTTATCCAGCAAACCTATAAATGGAAGTGACAGGGAAAGGCATGAAAGACGACGAAGGTCCGCGGAGGGTGTGCCGAACAACAGAACAACAGGAGCATGAAGGCCGGAGAATCGAGTTGTACGGCTTTCACAACACATCGCCGGCAGTTTCAATATACTTCCACGATATATAGAATAGCTCAAGAGGAAATAGTTGACAGTGCTAAGCGCGAACCGCAATTGTATTGAAGCCCAACTCATCCAGCTTATTTGTATCTAAAAACGCAAAATGATCAAAAATATAGCATCAGGTAGTTTCGATCCACCGACCTCAGGGTTATGAGCCCTGCGCGCTTCCACTGCGCCATGATGCTCATGGAAGACTAACGTCTTAGCTTCGAATCTGGTGAGTCATGTTCCGGAGAAGGAAATTTTCTTCGAGGCTCGCGTTGACGTATTTTGCCGCCAGGTTTGAGTTCTTGCGTTCGGCTCGATATTCTTGGGGATAACGGGGTGTTGGAGGGAGTATTTCATGCTTTTACTATTTAGAGATGGGAAGTGGTCCGTTCGCCTTGAATTTTCGTGATTTCAGTCGGAAGCAAAAGATGCGGTCGAGTCATGGTTGAGTTCGAAAGAGTTTGAACTCCGACGGAATAGGTCTGGGCCCACCGGCCCGTGGATAATCTGAGCTCCGACTTGCCTGCTCCCGCCGTCGCCGTCACGCTCGTCGTTGGGAAGAAGAAACTGTCCTGATAGTACTTGTTGTTCCCATCCGTCTAGAGGAGAAGCTGATCCCCTCTTATCGGATGCTAAGTAGATTCTGCGTGCGCGATCTCTCGCTTTCTGGACATTTCTTTGTTTACAGCCCCTTTTGCACTGTCGTCATTTTTTGATTCGATTTGGCACCCTTTCGATTGATATTGACAGGACTTATAAGGCTGAAATGCATTCGACGTATTTGACACAGGACAAAATTCCCTTTCCTAGACCTTCTCCTCGATACCCGTGATAACGAAACTAATAATAAGAAAATATGAGACGATGAATTTTGGTAAATAGTGGATGTCATGATCAGCTCCGCGGGAAGGTAGAATCATGGCGTCGAAGGAGAATCGGGGTCGGTAGCGATTTGACCATCGTCTGCAGTACTGATATAACTCATCGTATCCCAAGGACCTTCTTCGAGATCGTCTTCGAGATGGCGTAGAATGAATCCGGTGGGAGATTGGATGGGTTCGATGAGACGAGGCGGCCTGAACGATTTTTCGGTTGGCTCTCCCTGCTGGATTCGATCGAGTGTGTTTCGTCGTCGGTTCCGATCTCGCGTCCTTGTCGACCGCTCTAATCCGGTTTTGATAGACAGTCGAGGTCTCCGAGAATTCGAGGATGGACGAGAAGATGAACGATCCTGGGAGATGGCGGATTTTTTGAAACGTTGGAAGACGCGAGAAAGAGTGAGGTAGGATAAGCGAATGTAATACGCGATATGCAAGGCTCCGACGACCGCGAGAGGGTAAACGACCGTAGCTAAGTCCACGAAAACGCGTCAGCGACAGTCATTGAGCTAACCGACGCGTTTGACGACTCACAGGTTCCCGGAAGAGACGGAGGTGTATTTGAGGATTGGGACTGGGACAACGCCACCGTCGACATCGGACACGAGCAAGACGTCTCGGCATCATATTCGTAGTGAAAAGAGGGCATCGGGGCTTGGTTTAAAGGCCCTTGGACCGCGACAATCGGGAGGGGGTTCATATAAAGGAGCGCGGAGCAGACCAGATCTGTTATCTCGGACGACCGGGCTTTATGTCTGTATTATATGGGGTACTTGCTGTCTTATGGTCTGTCGTTTGTTGGCGCTTTCGTTGGGGAAGAATTGCGGCCTTTCTGTGTCGAAAAAAGGGCGTGCGAAAGGAGATTCCGTCGAGGCGCCGTGGAGCTTATGGTCGGATTTAGGGGCGAAGGGGGACACTCTGGGACCCATTTACTGTCCTACGCGAACCACAAAGTGTTGAAAGTATGTTTGGTCGATGCCTTACATTGCGAACGACGGAGGAACAAAATATCAGAGAGATAAAGACTGAAATTCAAGTTCAGTACGACAAATTGACATCACGTCCATTTGCGGATCTGATCGAGAAGCTACAAAGGTTACCTTCTAATTAGAATTTGTTTCCGAAGCACTCCGATTTCAGGTGGAGTTGGCCGATTTCGGAAATTAAAACCAGAATCTTTGGCCTGCCGGCGACTTGAATGTTCACCGTTCGGAGCCACTCGAGCTGGCAGGAGAATCTGGTGATATGGGAATCCGTCCAATTCCCAATATTTTTCGAGCCTTTCGCGTTCGGAGATAAAGCTGGAGTAAATGGGCCGAAAAATCGTATGATTTATTACATATAGCGGGCCTTCGATCATGACAAGCGTAATGGAACCATACGCTTTGCACCGTTGACGCGTGACCAGAAAAGATACTAAATATGGTTAGCTCCTGTCGTTTTTGGCGCGGCGGCTTTATCATTCATTCCAGCAGTCCGAGAAGCCCCTCAGCGTCTGGATTCGAAGTTCGTAAAAAGGAAATGATCGTCAGATTTGAGATGGAACCCGTTGACTTCCTCTTAATCTTGCGCTCAGATCCGTGGTCTTGAAAGAGATCTGGTGGCGCGATCTGGCGAACGTTCTTAAGGAGCTCAGATGTTCTTGAACTTCTGGTTCGAATTCCGAAACTGGGGTAGTAGGGACTATAGAGTCTGAGTGGATGACGTAGTATAACGGAGTATCGTTTGCACTTACAATGTAAAAGGCGGGCCATGCGGCGGGATCTTGTTTATCTGGGGGAATATCCTGCGCCGCCGTCGCCGTTGCTTCCTAAGAAGAAAGAAAATATATGAGCGCCGCAGCATTTGTTATCAATTTATTGCCGAAGGAAAATCAAGAACTTGGGAGTAAATATTCGAATCCATAGCGCGGCGGAGATACGGTGGCAATGATCTGGATGTGTGGTCAGAAAAGAGAGAGCAGGCACGATGACTAGGGACAAGGAACGCAACGCACTGGTATCAACAACCATAATGTCGATGGTACTTCCATAAGAACCCAAATATATTAGGAAGTGAGAGACTGAGCGACTCCTTCCCGTGTTCGGCAGCCCTTCGGCTCCGAACCAACTTGGATATACCTGGACGCACTTGCTCCCGTTCATACGCAAAGAAGGTTATGATTGACAGTGATATATGACGCGCCTTTATGTATTTTACTGTCCAATACTATGTATTAGAGCCCTTCTTCTCTTGACATGGAATGTCCGGAGAGGTGTTTTCCAGACATTGAAGGAGCGGAGAAGGTTATTCGGTAATTTCCGCGAGCGCTAAATTGCATTGTCTGTCACGTTGTAGACGCCGCCAAGGCTGGCTTCCATTCTCGACCTGTGTCGCAACTTGTTCAGTCATTTGTAGGTGTCGGTCATTGGCTTTGAGGGTTGCTTTACCACATGCTTATTCATGGCGTCTGCCTTTATTAGGGATGGATCCCGACGGCCCGAGGTTCACTATGGCTGATCGTGGCTTCCCGCAAGAGATTTGTCGTCGCATCGTCGTGAGTACCTTTGATATGCCTATATTGCTCGACGCTGAAGCAGAGTTATCGATTATAGGACTATATATCCGGTCACGATCTAGTTGCACTGTCTGTCGTATCACTCTCCTTCCAGCGAGAAGCTGAACGAAGGCTCTATCATATCATCCACATCACGAATGCGGCGCAGATCAAACGCATGTCTCGCTTGTTTTTGGAGACGCCTCGAGTCTCGAAGCTTGTGAGGAACCTTTATGTGTATCCGCCCAGTTCGGGAGGGAGAGGGACTGATGGGAGAGATTGGGATTGGGAGGTGTTGAGGAGGGCGTTGAGTGAGTTGAGCGCTTTGGAGGTGTTGTTCGTCAGCGGTGCTGGGGGGCATACGGAAATCCTCATTCCTCTTCCTCTGGAATCGGCGTCAACATCCTCGAATTCCACCGCGAATGCTTCGACCGTTGCGCGAGCCTCGACGCCATCAAATAATATGGAGACGGAACCTACGCCTTCTTCGCCGTCTTCGCCTACAATGCTTTCTGTCACTCCCATCCATCCTTTCCGGTTGAAGGAACTGTCTTTGCGCACGACGTGGGACCCGGATGTCGCAAGCTTCCTCGAGACGCAAGATCAGCTCGTATCCTTCGTCTTCACCCCGATGATAATGGATTCCTCCGAATGGGACACGAACATTCTTACCACTACTACCATCTCCCACATCCGACTGGACTTATCGTCAGTCGCATTGCCGCGCTTGAAGACAATCGACGTTCCTTTGAACCTTGCTTGTGCTCTGGCTCCGGGAAGGCCGATCAAGGTTATCAAGGCGACTTTTCCGCATTTCGCGCAGTTCAATCAGTCAACTGTTTTGAATACGCATGGAGCGCATGCGGAGGATAGACTGTATGAGGGGTTGGGGAGGCTCTTTGAGGCGTTCGGGAAGTCGACGGGGCCGGTGGAGGAGTTGCATATTGGTGAGAATGTGCATATTACTGAGAGGATATCGGTCCGGGTCATGGAACTGAGTGCGAGACATTTGCCGTCGTTGGCGTTCCTTTCGAAACTCGCGCTTCCGCGAAACGATGTGAGTGCTATCGTTGATATAGGACCAATCATATACTCATTCCGATGCTAGCGATACCTGTTGTTGAACCCTTTGCAGAAGATGTACAGCTTGACTTCGATCGCGGTTTCTATTGCGCATTTCCATCCGCCTGCGATGACGATGATTCAAGCCCTCATTTTTGAGATGGCATATTACTCGGATACCCTCACCGAGATTATCCTGTATAGTCCTTGGGATGTGACGCGGTGGAATAAGTACAGGAGTCCAACTCCGGGAGATGCGGACGAGTGGATAGTGGGTCCGAGCGAGCCTCATTACTGAACCTCCTGTAAATGACATGTAATCACTTGTATTGATACCTTGCTGACCGTCGAATAGATCGCATTGCAGATAAATTGCTACAATATTCGATGTTCCGCAACTTCTCCTCTGTTCCGTGAAGGCCGAGACGCATTCCGGGCTCCGATGCGTCATGAGAATCACGTGCGATCGGCTGCGATGCTCCCGCTCCTCCATCGGGTGACGTCATGACCCGCAAAGTGTGCCTCCCGTTCGCCATTTCTCGCGTCATTGTTGTACGCTCCATGACGCTGAACGTGTCATGACGCGTTGATACGTTTGGAACGTTCCAGTTTTTCTAGGGGAGGCGCAGTATATAAACCCGCCCACCGACGCTGGATTCTATCATCAAAACAAACAACCCACTTCTCTCTCACAAACTCCACATCAATCAAATCATAATGT